ACAGCCAGCCAGCCAGCCCCATCCAGTCATGCATGAGTTGTTGTTGCTGCTGCTTCGCTGCTGCTGCAGCTACCTGGCCTGGCTTGGCCGACGCCAAGCACTTCCTGCTTGTCGCTGTGCCAGGCGAAGCCGGTTGTCATCCGTCCTCCGTAGTGTGTGTGGACGTGAAATATAATGGCATGATATCGCTGTTGTTACATGGTGTTGTGAGATACGGGCTGAATCATGCCCCCCGATGGTGAAGTTGAATAGACCGCGATGGGCAAATGCATCCTTTTATCGAGCCGTCATATCAGGGCGCTCAGAGAAAAGTTCATTGTGCAAATCGTTGAAGAATTTGAAGGGACGGCGCTAATAATCTTGACGAGGAGGGGGCATTTGAACGGCTTCTTGTGTAAAACTGCTGTTACCCAAGGGTGAAATTACGGTACTTAGGTTAGGTTTCGGAAATAGGTCCACCTACCCAAGAGCTCCCTTCACCTTTAGACCTCGGCAGTGCAGTGGGGCTTGTTCATTGGGAAAACATCCACAAGGATGGCGCTAACAACCTAAGCATGGAGGGGCATTTAAATGAGTCCTAGGATTACCATAATAAGGATGAGATTACTGTACTTGAAATTGGTTCCCCGTTCCCCGAGAGCTCCCTTCACCTTTAGGCTTCTGCGGTGCAGTTCGCCTTGTTCATGGGGCGAACCGTTGTTAGAAATTGAAGGGATGGCGGTAATAAGCTTGACCAGGAGGGGCAGTTGAATGTCTCCTCGTGTAAAACTGGGATTACCCTTATAAGAATGGGATTACTGTACACGGAATGGCTAACCTGCCCAAGAGCTCCTTCTTCCTTTCAGGGTGCAATTCGACATGGTAGAACCACCAAGCAGGCATCTCATTTAGCCTAATTAGGCTCGCTGTAGCTGGTGGTGCAACAGTTGCACCATTTGTGATAGTTGATGTCCCCCCCCCCTTGTGTCCCTTCCTCTCCTTTTCTCGCTCAATGGCAACGGAATGGCATTTCCTGAGTGCTCTTGCCTAGTTAGGGAGAGGGAGGATTCTCGGCGCAGTTCGGCTTGGTGTGGGCAAGAAGTGGTATTAATGAAAGCTTGTTCAGGTAATCTTGTGAAAACTTGCAAATTCTAGTGACTGAGATGATTACTTGTACCATTTCCAGTTTCACAAGACATCACCAGTCTCAGCAACGTGTGACCTGTTAGTTAACAGGATTTCACACAAGGAAGGAGGAGTCTGCAACCCCCCCCTCCCCTCCAACCCCCGAAACGCCGCTTAGGTACTAGCCTTCATCTGGGTTACAGGGCTTCTGGCAACCGGAAATTCGCTCGTTGCGAGGATCCAGAGATATCTGCTCATCGCATGTACTGGTCGAGCATGAAGGGTGAAGGAAAAGGAAGAGAGAAGAAAGGAAAGAAAAGAAGGAAGGAGTAGAGAAGCTTTATGGTTGACAGATATCGCGAGACGTTTCAGCAGTGTTACGATAATCCAAATTTTACAAAAGGACTCATTTGACTGCCCATATAAGGATACTTGAGCCAAAGGGACAAAAGGGAAAGTGCGGTAGTTGACCTCAGAAGACAGCTATAACACCAGTGTCATTGAAAAATTCAAGTCTTTTTAGGGTTAGGGCATTTCCAGAGAAGAAAATGTGTACGATTTTGATGTCCATTTGTTCTAGGATGCAAGATCAAAGCTCTGCGAGCAAAGACTAATACTTACATCAAAACGCCGATTCGTGGCGAAGACCCAGTCTTTGTGAAACTGGAAAGGCGGAAGACGTGCTCGAAGCGAAAAGGGAAATCGAATGTGCTGCTGAGCACTTCACGCAAATTCGAGCCAGCCGACGTCATTCACATGGTACGTCATAACTACTGCCATTTATATGTGGCCTTAGCACTCTTACATTTCCTCCACACTCGTTGAATTATGATATTTTTGATGACTTTTTGAATTGTGATTAATTAGGAATTGTTACAGGAGGAGCACCGGCACCCGGTCATGTAACATTGTATGTACGTGTTCCACTTCGAGTAGTAGGATTGGTTGTGGGACCAAAAGGAGCGACGATTAAAAGGATTCAACAAGACACTCACACATATATCATTACACCAAGCCGCGAAAGAGAACCAATCTTCGAGGTAAACACACCCAAACTACTTCTTATGAATGTAGCGCGGCGCTTTGTCTGCTATTCGTCAACTGGCGGAGCACGGCGACGTGGGGGGGGGGGGGGGGCATTTTGCACTTTTGCTGGTTCCCATTGATGTGTCGAGCCATCAAATGGAGACCTGTGAAATCTTGTGAAACCTCGAGATGATACAAGCCAAAGTTTGTAGAGTCCTGTCAACTTCTGTAAAGAGTACCTGTTAACTCTTGTAAAGCAACCATATACCATACAAATACCTTTATCAAGGGATGTCACCGCTGGGGAAGATTTTGGAAACTACGCCCCTCTCCCTCCCCCCAATTTCGCCCACAGTTGCAACCCTCCTCCTTCCCCATGCTACCTACTAATTTGCCAACTTTTCCAAGCTTCCTACCTCTTCTAACGAGATTTTCCAAATAACTCTTAGTTTTTCGCTTTCCCCGAAACCAAAAAGTTTTCTCGGACCAAGTACGACCACCCCCCCCCCGCTGAGGATTGCACAGCGGAGGAGGTGCCCTGTTGCTCAACGAGCTGGCTCCAGCTTCACAAAAATTCACAGGTTTTTACCAGATTGAGACCAGAACCCAGGGCTAGTGAAAGAAAAGCCCCTCCCCCTGCCGCGGAACTGCACCGAAAGATGGGTAGTTCTGGCCCACTTGGCAGTACAGTTCAATCAATAAAATTCATGAAGGTGAATACTTACATAGATTTGTCATTTTTCGGTATCAAGCGTAACGCGCTCGCCCAATGAGTGTGAGGTGCGGGTTCAAAATCTGTCGGGAGAGGGGGGTCAAGACTTTTGCCACAACTCAGCATTCTTGTGATAGTTCATTTACTTCTCCATTGCTCCAGCTTCACAAGAGTTCACGGATTCACTAGAATGAGACTGTGAACCAGAACTAGTAAAGCAGCGAAAGTAAAAAATGTCCCCTCCCCTCGTCGCCAAACTGCTCCGGTCACACGTTCTTTGCATCGGCCAGTTCCCAGAGATGTTCGTGGTGACCTTTACAGCTATACACAAAGATGGTGGCCACAGCGCGCCTATCCTTAATCTATGACATCGGCTAGAGCAACACTCGTGTGGCAGGCAGGGAGAGGTGCTAATTACTTTGCGCGATAATCACAGCGTGTCATTACGCTGTCGACCGCATACTCTTCGTTGGCCAATGTGTCATGTCCATTAGATTGCTAACGGGATATTCATTACATCTGCGCATATCCTGCATAATAAAAGCCTATAAATACTACATTTCTCATACGCTATGGAATGTCTAGCGCTTGAATGACGCATGATTTCAAAGGGAAATCATTGAAAATGAAAAAAACATGATGCATTCGGCTAAGGGGGGGGGGGCACTTAGCACTTTCGCTACATCATGGTGTGAAGCCATCATCATCAAGTAGAGACCTGTAAAATCTTGTGAAGCCATGAGTAATGCAAGTCAAAGTTTGTCGAGAGTACTTGTCTTGTAAATAAACCAAAGGGAAGCAAGAATTCTTGGAAACAGGCGATATACAGTACCCTGAAAATTGCGCGTGGAATTAAATATGTCCTATCGGCGAATGCGCTTGACCAGGAAGATGTTAATTTCGTTTTCCACCTGGCCACGGCGGATGTTAAGTAGTGTTGCGTGCAGTCGCCGCTCCTGCGCACTCAGTTGTACGCACAATTGGGGTACTGCACATCGATTTATGATTTAGCTCTAAAGAATGCTTATAATTTAATTGTGAAGATTACCTGCCAACCATTGTAAACCAATAAATACGACGATGAGAAGTAGCGAAAGCGCACATTGCCTCCCACCCACCCTCCCCCCAAGTCAAACTGCGCCGAAAAAAATTTGGATTAATTGACAAATCGAACTGTAGGGGTAAGAAATACTGTGGGTATTGAAACCAAAGAGGTAGCTCAGCTTCCGCTTTTTTAAGTTAAACATTCCGACTTACTCTCAAACGATGGCAGTAAATGTAAAAAAGCGCCAGTCGGCTATGGAGAAGTAAGGGCGGGAGTATTTGGCGATTCTTGTCAACGTACTGGGCGGTTATGTAAGGCCCTGAAATTTTTGAAGAACTGAAACTCGCGCGTCGATAATAAATTTGCCTCTCAATAGGTAGCCTAAATTAGCAGAGCTGGGAAGAGGGGGGGGGAGGTGTGGTTGGAAGAACGATTGTGACTCCTTCTTCAGAGAGAGCTTGGAGCTTCTTCTAGTCCATGACAAAAAAAAACTTCACTCCCTGCCCCACAGTGGTTTCTAGGCCCCAGCTGCAACCAATGGGGGTACAATCTGAGATTCGCTTGGAAACCAAGCCCAAAGATTAAAAAAGCTTCCTGTGTAAATGCGATTACCGTAACCCGACAAACTACTGCACAAAATGCCCGACACTAACTCCGAGGACGTCAATCGGGGGCGTTCTATTTACATGGGCTGGTTTATAGCAGCACTCATTCGATATACTAGTATATGGAACTAGAACCATTTAGTTGATTTACAGGAGTTTACAGGTATTTTCAAGGAGATATGACAGCACAGGAAACGACAAAACATGCTTTCCCCTTGGTGGGCGGGATTGCCCCTTCCTAGTGGATCGCGCCCAAAATCCTTCAGGATGGTGCACTTTGAACTGTTCCTGAACCTCCGCGGCTATTAAACTTGAATTTGAAAAAAACTTAAGCTAAAACTTGTCTTCAGAAACTTTTCTTGACCTACTTTTTTAAGAGTAGATTTGAAATAAAGGTTGCAAAATGTACTTTTTTTAGATCGAGTCTTTTCAGGTGACTGGATTACCGCAGAACGTTGAGGCAGCCCGTAAAGAGATAGAGCAACACATTTATCAACGCACTGGAAATATGCCAATGACAGATCCAGACGCGTCCATTACTCAGTACTCGAACATGCAGGTGGGCAACTTGTCATGCTTAAAGACGGCATGTATGCTGTTAATGAGCCTCAGGCCTAAATTTAGGCGTTATTGAGTTGTAAGCTTAAGCTTGAACTTAATGACGCTTCCTTCAGAATAACCTCACATTGGCAGCATCCGCATCGGCAGCTGCACGATCAGCCTACGGAAGTTTAGCACAGCCTATGGTTCGTCGTGCACCAGGCAATGAAAATTATCCGGAATATCCTCGGCCACTGGATAGAAATGGATATAACGGACTAACTGGATTGGTATGTAACTATTTGCTGTTTTTTAGCGCAGTTCGGTTTGGTGGGGGCATTCTGTTTGTTCCCGTCGATCACTGCTGAAGTTTCCTGTGGAGACCTGTGAATTCGTGTTAAGCCGTTTAATAACATGAGCTTCGTTTACACTTGTCAAGATTCCACAAGTCTTACTAAGGTGAGACGTTTGGTTCGACAGGAACTAGCAAAAGTGCAGAATGCTCCTCCTGAGTCGAATTGCGCTCAAAG